TGCTCTGGTCCCCGGCTCGATACCATTCACAGAGGTACATGGCGTAGGTGTCATAGATCATGTAGGGAATCAAAAACCAGACATACTCTCGGGCAAGCCAGTGCCTGAAAGAAAGCACATACACGGTCCAGGAAGTAATTATGGGCATCAATTATGAAGGTTCACAGCCAGCCTCCACTTAAACACGTTTGCTTTGGCTTTGTACTTCATCAGCTGTCTTGACCCCAGATACTTCACAGTGAAGATGCTGGAACTGACAGGGAGAGTGAACAACTTTCTTTAAATTTACGGGGCGAACTGGTAAGTGCCAAAGCCTTAGAAAGCAAGGATTCCCTCAGCACCCTGCGTTTTGGTGACTTGCCATCACTATTTGCCTACTCCTTTGTAATGGCCTTTTTGGGGCTTCGTGATACAGGCTGACTTTGAGGTAGAGACCTCTACCAATGATTCAACTGCCCCACCAAGAAACTGGTTTGGAAGGTAGCCCACATCCCAAATCCAATATTTCCAGTTTAACTCCACTTGTTACTCAGCAGTTGAGTTTCTCTTACATCTGTCTGCAGCCCCACTCTAGGGAGTTTCTGGAAGCAGCCCTGGCCATTTTCTTTACAACTGCACAGCTGAACTCTGCCACTCATTAAGAAAAATGTGTCTGGAAACGAGCCCAGATCTCAAGGACTACCTTACATCGGACAGATACCCAAAGAGAACCCGGACAAAAGACAGGGTTCCCATTTACTTGTCCAAAGGAGTTGAATCAATATTTGCTGAGTCAAAATGATAGCTTTATCACTGTCCCAGAGCAGACTTGAAGGGAAGTCTCTACATAATGTCGGAAATTTTGGTCCCAAAAAAGCCATTCTACAGAAAATATATGGGAAAAAAACATTAAAATGATGTACTATCTGGAGAAGGATTAGACTCACCAAATCAGCTAAGTTTAATGGAGCACCCACATGTTAGGTAGATGAAACATTTCACTACTAGGTGGCTCAAACTACCCAAACATCAGAATCGCCTGCAGTGCTTATTTAGGACTCGATACCCCAGAGACTACACATGGTGTGCCAAGGGCCTCACGTCTGTATCTTTACCTCTGTCCCAGGTGACTTAACCAAAGGAGCCCATCCACTGAACAGGCAACATTGGGAACATATAGAGTGCCATTCACATTCTGGTTCCTGAATCATTCCACACTTAACCACAGCAGAACTAAATAATGTGTAAGCTGTGAAACAGGCAAACAAGTAATGGCAGATTTAATATTCATGCAGGTCAATTAACAGCCAAGTTCCATTGAGGTAAAAAAAGATGCAGTATTTATTCTGCTGCCCATCTGTGGTCTCCACTGCTTTCTTGAAGCAATCTCAATTAAAACAACTATGAAGAGCTACTAAAAGCTCAGCTGAAATATAACTGACCTCTCCCCTTGAGTGGAGCCCAGGGTTTTCAAATTTTGCACACAGTACCGATTCAGTAAGATGAGAAAGTGTGGCTATCAGAATTCCCCAAAGATTTACTAGCAAGCAATCTGGATTATAATTTCAGCTACCACTAGCCTGGACCTTAACTACTTCTTTTATTAAATGAAGACAATAATCCTTGTCTTTCTTCCCTGATAAAGTCATTGTGAAGATTAGAAAGTCAAAAGTAGGAGAGTTCTTTTATTTATTTATTGGCCATACCGCCATGGCTTATGGGATCTTAGTTCCCCAACCAGGGATTGAACCTGGGCCCTTGGCAGTGAACGTGTGGAGTCCTAACCACTGGACCTCCAGGAAATTCCTGATAAGAGTTCTTTTATTTTTTAGGTTATATTTATTTTTGGCTGTGGTGGGTCATTGCTGCACAGGCTTTTCTCCGGTTGCGGTGAGCGGGGGCTCCTCTTCGCAATGGTTCTCTTGTTTCGGAGCACGGGCTCTAGGCTAGAGGACTTCAGTGGTTGCAGCTCCCGGGCCCCTGCTCCGCGTCCTGTGGGATCTTCCCAGATCAGGGATTGAACCTGTGTCTCCTGCACTGGCAGGCAGATTCTTTACCACTGAGCCACTGGTGAGCCCTGAGTCCTTTAAAATGTAAAAAGTACTGTCCAAATATAAGTGCTTAGGGAATTCCCTGGTGGTCCCGTGTTTAGGACTCTACACTGTCACTGCTGGCAGATCACTGGTCTAAGGTCTAGCAAGCCTCACAGTATGGCCAAAACAAACAAACAAACAAAATAAGTGCTTAAATAGAGAAATTGCCTAGAGCTGTGGCTCTCAGTCCTTTTAAGGATCTGGATCTCTTTAAGATGATGATAAAAGCCCTGGCCCCACACATTCTGCATATAATTTGGCAAGATTCATAGACATCTCTCCCTACCTACAGACATTCTATATGAAGGCCTAAAGTTCAAGGGCATATGATAGAAAACTATTTGGATGAACAGACTATGAACCCGGAAGCCTTTTTCCCTGCCCCAAGATGATCTAGGTGCCTTTGAAGCATCCTTGTACATCCATGCAAAGTGAGGGTGGTGTCTGTCTCCATTCTGAAAGCAGAGAATGAATCTAAGGGATAAAGTTACACAAAAGAAGGACCCTGAAAGCCAAACTCAGATGCCCAAGCCCCTGAGACACAGGGCTAAAGAACTGAAAGTTAATCGTGTGCAGACCTCTTTTCTGAAATGTGTTAGCAGCTCCCTGCAGCTTGCCCAGGAGTACTGTGGGGCTGCATCTGCCTTTACCTCTGCGAAGGAGGCGGGTGTCAAGTTTGACCTGACAGACTGGAGTGAGGGAGCTTGCTGCAACATCAGAAAATGCTCAATTAAAATACATATTGAATCCAGCCAAGCAAAAGCTGTTAGCCTTAGATGTATGCAGTCAAAGTCACTTGACCTGTCTTCTCTCAGCATCTACAGTGCGTTGCTAATAGCTGGTCTTGTCTAAAACGAGGCAAAAAAAAGAAAAGCACAAACATCATGATGGCAGGACAAATCTCAAGTAAGATCCAGGCACAGAATTTGCAGGCCACAGTGAGTCAGACGCCCCACTCAGGCTCCCCTGCCATTCCAGTCCCAACAGGCAAAAAGCAAGACTTTAAGTAAGTCACCATGAGAAAGGGATCAGGACAGGCTATTAACGTTCCCCGCACATTTGACAGTCGCTCTTCAACTTATCTGTGAGGAAGAAAGAGTGATTCTGAGAAGAAAATGAAAAGGATGGCTTTAAAAGTAGGGGGTGAGATGGTGGGAACCACCATTGCACAGGTCTAAATACTATACAAAGGAGAGTCCAGGTCTTTATGATATGTTTTACTGGATGCACATTTGCTGCCCCAGCCCTGGACTGAGCTCTAACACACACAGGAGTCAGTTTTCCAAAAGCTCCAGAAAACTCTTCATCACCTTCATCTTTCAGATGAAAGAGGAAAGCAGCATTTGTAAGGAAAGGGATGAGGAGTTTGTTCCTTTCCTTAGGAGGGCTCTACTAACCACACTGGACATACCTTGGCCCTGGAGTCCAGAGCAGGACCCCAGGGAGGTCATGTAAAAGCATCAAAAGTCTTACTTTCACTTTTGAGTAATTTTCACAGGTATCAATCTCATAAAGAACTTGGGTCGATAGACCACACTGTCCTCTAACACGTCTGATTTATCAGACTCAAGTCTCTAAATGTCATTCTCTAGCATTTCTAAGCTGGCGATGCTGAAGGAGGTGAAGAGAGAAGGGAACTAATTATGGTGCCCAAGTTTCACCCATTAATCAGCTGTCTGGTGGCTTACGCTGATAAAGAACTAGTAGTGACTGTGAGCCACTCAACTGTGGAAACCTCGAAAGAGTTCGGGGCTGTGATTTGTGTAGCTTTCAACCGGCATCCGCATCGGATGTTACCTGTCGGTGATCACGTCGCTGCAGGAGCGGATGACGATGATCCCAGACCCGGTGGCCAACACAGCCTGCACGGAAGAAACCAGCCTAACGAGCGGCAGAAAAGAGAAACGGGGTGGGGTGGGGTGGTGAAGAGCGCCCTCAATCCAGCCCCACGGACAGCATGAAGCAAGAACCCTGCAACCTGACTTTCCCCAGGCTGCCGGGGCACCGAGGGCCGCCACCCCGCTGCTGACCCCCCAAGCCACTGGTAGATGTCGGAGGTCGGGAGACGCTCCTCCCGGTCCTCATCAGCGCGGGCAGCCGACCCCCGCTTCTCGCCACCCCCACCCCTCCCCGGCAACCGCCTCCAGCCACCTCCGTCTTCCTCCTTCCCTCTGGGGCAGGACGCACAGGGTCCTCGGAGCGCTCCGGCCGGCGCCGCGGAGGGGCGAGGACCCGGGAGGCAGCCCCCTCGCTTCCTGTCGCCCCCCTTTTCCGCCCTGGGCTCTGCACGGGGCGGGCGCGGCCGGGGCGGGTAGCCGGACGGCGGCGCGGGCTCGCCCCGTACCTGGTGCTGATCATCACGCAGTCGTGGTGGGTCCAGGCGGGCCGCGCGCGCCGCAGCCCCCAGGTGCAGACCCCGAAGAGCCCCGGGAAGAAGAGCGAGCCCCAGGCCAGCGGCAGCAGCATGGGTGCTCGGGCTCGGCCGCCTCGCTCGGCGCCCTCGGCGTGGCTCGGTAGGCTCCGCGCGCGCGGCTCGGGGACTGGCGCGGCCCGCCCGCCCCTATTTCTACCCTCCGCCCTCCGCCCCCGTCCCGGCCCGCCGCGACTCTAGCCGCCGCCGGGCGATGGCCCGGAGCTCGCGGCGCCACTCCCCGCGTGACCAGGCCGCGGACCGCGATAGGCGCGGGCCGGCCGGGCGGGGCGGGGTCTCGCTGCCACCGCCCCTGGGCCGGAGGCTGCCCCGGGTTCCCCGGCCGGCCAGCCGGCGAGTGAGCGGCGGCGGCAGCTACTGCCCGCCGGGCCCTGAGCGCGCGGATGCTGCGCCCCCGACCGGCCGCCGCCCGGCCGAGGCTGTGGGGGCAGCGCCGTGGCTCTCGCGGCTTCTGTTCCGTCACCGCGGACGCCTGCCCCTCCTGCGAGGACCCGCGCGGCCAACGATCCGCCCCGCACCTGCCCTCCCCAGCCCCGGGCCAAGCGGCGGGTTGGGGAGCCCCCGAGAGAGCCAGGTAGGAAAAGGCGCCCGGCCGGGACCCCCAGACCCGCAGGGTGGGGTGAGCCGCGGGGCAGGGGCGTGGCCCGGCGCGGGCCCGGCGGTGGGCGTCTCTCGGGCGAAGGGAGGAGACGGCGGGTGGGCTAGTGGCCGTCCGCCTGCGCGGCTTGTCTATGAAGCACTCTAGCTTCCAAGTGGGATTCTTAAGGAAATGGTCTCTCTGCCCGCCAAAGATGGCTTTTCCACGTCCTGCCAACTGCTCGACTTTCTCCTGGGGAGCATCGCTCCGAGAAACATGAAATCCTGAATCCAGCAGTTCATTTCTCAAACCACACAGGGCGGTGGGGTCTCACGGGCACAGACTTGCTGTGGTATTGCGGTACTGTCTCTTGGCTTTGGGGCAAGATACCATCCCGTCCTGGTGACTGTTGTTATTGTTGTTGTTGATAACCTCATCCTTATTTCAGAGTTCTTGGATCAGATGCCCTGGACTTGAGTGGAGTGAATCAAATTGTTTTCACTCAGCACCAAACACAGAGCACCAATAATACATTAACATCAGTATTACCGGCTTCTCTTCTCTTGGGATTTGCCAGATTTTTACTTTGGTCTGTATCTTCCACAGCTTACAAAGGGGAGCAAGACAATTCATTTACGTCTACAGCAATCGAAAGGTACTATAGGTCTCTTCAAATCACCATCATGGAAAATGTTGACCAAAGCCCTTTCAGAGGACTCTGGAACAGATGGACTCAGCCTCCCTGGGCCACTTTGCTCATTTGTGATATTGAAGAGGCTGAATTACAAACCCTCTTAGGTTCTTCCTGCCCCAAAATCTTTAAGATTCTGTGACTTTTATAAGCTAACAGATGATTTCTGTTAGATGCCAATTAAATTTTCTCTAACATCGCAGTTGCTGGTGTAGAAGCAGATACAGAGTAAACACAGCTTTCAACATCTTTCTATGTGTAGTTAAGCTGAGAGATTTAGCCAACAGTAAGGAAGCAGAAGGGGGCTTCCCTGAGGGCTCAGCAGGAAAGAGTCTGCCTGCAGTGCAGAAGACCTGGGTTTGATCCCTGGGTCAGGAAGATCCCCAGGAGGCCAGCATGGCAACCCACGCCAGTCCTCCTGCCTAGAGAATCCCAGGAACAGAGGAACCTGGCAGGCTGCAGTCCATAGGGTTGCACAGAGTTGAACGCGACTGAAGCAATAAGCAGCAGCAGCAGCAAGAAAGCAGAAAACCCAAAGAAAAGTGTGATATTTCTTCTACTGAGGGCAACATCTCTGACTCCCCAGTTCACTGCCAACACGATTGGTAGAAGTGTGAAAGATACATCCATTTGGTAGCAAGGTATCTGGCAAATAAAAGGCTATATCTGTACATTCATCTGCAACTATCTGTAAACCTTCCATTCTTGCCAGAACAGCAAATCCTTCTGCACTGCAATTTCCACTCCCTGCCTGTTTATCCCCGTCACCTCCAGCTCTTCCAGAGAGGGACAAGTGGTCATAAGTCCTCACCACCATCTCTCCTTAAAGGGATCAGCAACCTGCATCAACGATGAAATACTTTTAAGTGATGCGAATCAACAGGTCGTTTGTATGGCTCTTAAGGAGTCTATGAAAGGAAAACAAAACAACAGATGTTTCATGCAGAGAAAATAACCAGTAAAATCAACTTCAAAAACCATGCTCGTGAAATCGCTAAATGTTTAGGGTGAATCACCAGAAGGGCAACAAGCATAAACATGAGCCTTGGCTTTTCAAGTGATCCAAAAACGCCTGTGGGCAAACGATAAAGTTGAATAAAAAGCATCAAAAAAATTTTTTTTTAACACAAACTTCCACTATCCCTTCAAAAGTCTTCTGCCAAATGATTCCTCCTGCAAGAAGGAATCTGTCTTCCAGGCAGGTTTCTAAGTTCATTTTCTGAACTGCCTTTGCATTTGCATAGTAAACATGTTGGTTTTTATTTGTACACTTTCTTCAAAATAGGACCATGTCGGGAATTTCCTGTCTGTCCAGTGGTTAGGACTTGGCGCTCGTTTGGGGAACTATGATCCCGCAAGCTGTGTGGTGTGACCAAAAAAAAAAACCAACAAAAAAACCAGATCTTTTTGTTTTGTTCCCTAAGTTACACCTGGCACATTGCAAATGCTCAAGAAATGTGTGAAACTTTTCAAAGCTAATGCTTATTGAGTGCTCACCATATGCCAGGTACTGGGTCCAACATTTTGCATGTATTATCTCATTGGTTCATCATGAAAAATCTATTACCCTCACTCAGCATGAGTGAGTGAGTATGTGTGTGTGTGTCTGTCTTCAAAATGAGACCCAAAGCAACTAAGATATCGCTAAGGTCTGACTGCTGGTAGCAGGACTGGGATTTAAATTCAGTATTTTCTGCCTTCAAGGTCAATGTACCTAATGACTATTCTGCCATCAAACTTGGTAAGCAAGGAGAGAGTACATAATTCTTTTTCACAATGTGGTTTTTGATTAGTAACCATTGTTCCTAATTGTTTACCCACAAATATAAGTGTATGGGATAGAGTTTATGGGCTCTGATGCCATTATTAACACCATTTTATATTTATATATAACTATAATTTTTCAAAGCATTTTACATGTATTATCTGACTTGGTTCTCAAAATAACCAACCCAGGGAGGTAGATAAGCATATTAATTTCATTTTATAGATAAGGAAACTTAGGTGCAAATGGTAAATAGAATTGCCACTTTACGAAGTGGCAAGACTCAAATTAGGATGCAGGACTCCTGATTCATGTTCCAGTGTGATTTCAACTACTTCATGCTATAGGGTTGGGAAGAAATTTAAGGAGGTTTTAATTATACTTCCTTTGTGGGTTTCAGGAGTGAGGTTTGGGTTACTGGATGTTAAGACTTCTTTACCTAATCAGAATCACACCCCTTGAATGGGAATCAATAAAGCTTCCAGTTTTGGAGGACTGTGGTGAGATTTCTCAGTGGTTTCTTCTGCCACTGATCCTGCTTCTTGGTCCCCATCTCTCCCAGCATTTTAGATCCCAAGCTGGATACCGTCAGGAAATAAGATACATGACTCTGCCCATGTCTGCTCCCTGGCTTCTCCAGCCTTAAACTGAAAATTCCATATTTACTTGTAAAATACTTTGAGAATACTCAAGTGAATAGATTGCTGGGAGAAATATCAATAACCTCAGATATGCAGATCACACCACCCTTATGGCAGAAACCAAAGAAAAACTAAGGAGTCTCTTGATGAAGGTGAAAGAGGAAAGTGAAAAAGCTGGCTTAAAACTCAACATTCAAAAAACTAAGATCATGGCGTCCGGTCCCATCACTTCGTGGCAAATAGATGGGGAAACAATGGAAAAAGACTGAGATTCACACATGAAACATCTTCACATCGAGCTCCTGAGCCAAAAGAGAACTTAGAGTTCTCCATCCACTCATCTACTTTAGAAATCATAACAAAGAAAATGAAAGTCTTTTGAAATAAAAATTGTTTTATTGAGAACCATACTTCCTTTCTGCATTAGGGACAGGTGAAGCAGAGACAGGACAGGAAGGAGGATAAAAGGAGAAAAGAAGTGATGGGAAGAGACATGGTAAGAAAGATACAGCACAGGAAGAAGATCCATCAGAGGAGACTGAGATAGAAACAGTTAATGGGAATAAAAAAGGCCAAGCTCCAGCCTTCCACACAGGAAAACAGACATAGAGATACAGATCCAGAGATTGGAATTCACAACAGTCAAACAAGAGGAAAAGGGCTGTAAGACACAGAGAAAAATGAAATGAGGTGAACAAAGGGAAAGAAAATGACTGCCATTAATGGAACATCTCTCCCTTTAGGCTTCCACCAGCAAAAGTGGCAACTAGGTCTTAGGGCTCAGAGTGTGACCAGGAGGAAGTCAGTCACCTTCCTCTTTTTTCCCTCCTGTACTGTTTGCACTCAGTAAGAACACTTGGTCAATACGGCCTTTCACGGATCCCTATGTTTGTATTTTCTCCTATAGACTGAATGCTCCCGATGGGCAGGAGGGACACCCAGCACCAGGGTTAGGATTAGAGATACCCGAGTGCCCCTTCTGGCTCTGCTGCTCCGAAGCTGTGTGACATGGAGAAAACTACCTACTCTCCCCTGCAAATGGGCGTGCCTCTCCGCCTGTCTCGCAGGGCAGCTGTGAGAGTTAGGTAAGGTCTTTTCACAAATACATGTGAACTATATGCAACGCAGCAATCAGGAATTGTTCTTTCTCTTGGTATCCCCACAGCACAGTAACTTGCTGTTAAGCTTCTCAATAAACATCTATTAGGTCGAAGATGCCTGGCCTGAGCCAGCTTCCAGACTGCAGCTTCCTCAGTTTCATCCTGGTCTGTTCGCAAAAGCAAACTGTGAGTCTGAGAAGCAGAGTCACACTCAAGCACATGGCTTCTGCAAACAGAGGCCACAGCTGTACCCCACAGGGAAGTCTTTGCTTCTGCATACACTGATAATGATCCCTGTCAATAAAAAACATAATTTACACAGAGAGCTGAGTATATAGTGCTTGCCTTTGTGTATTGCTTCACATTTTTCAAAGTCCTTTCACATATGCATTTCCTTTGCTTATAAATGCAAAAATTTGCTTGTTTGCAGAAGGCCACACCTAGCTAAAGGTAGTCAACTTAAAAAAATATTCCAGAATGTTGATCCATTAAGGAAATTACCTTTGAAATGAGTTAGAACCAGCAAATCGCTGTGAACAAATTCAGCTGCCTTCTTAAAAACAGCAGATCAACAATTTTCAGTGTCTTCATGTCTCATCAGTAATTCCATAAAAGGTTGATTTTGCTTACTCCATTTAACTAAACTCAGATAATTTCTTTGTCTTTTTTAGTTTTCTGATCATAAAAGTAATACTTTAAAAAGTAAACCATGCCCAATATGGAAAATAATAATCATAAATAATGCTATCACTGAGATATTACTCTCAGATTATTAACAATTTTGTAGAATTTCTCCCAGCTTCTTTATATGCACATGTTATATATCTGAGGTCATGCTTTAAGTTAATTATGAATATTAATATTTCATTTATCATAAGCATTTTCAATGTTGAGTTTCACAAACCTGATTTTTAATGTCAGAAATGATTTTATATTTGAATTATTATAGATTATTTTTCAAAGTGGCTTTTCACTGGTTTTTAAAGAAATTCTTAACTGAGGGTGAGAGCAGGTTTGTTCAAAGATGCACCTTGGCACACAGACTTAGACAGGGCCTTCTTCTTTTCTGGTAGCTTTATCCTTAAAAGTATTAAGATTCCCATCCTTACTCACACTCTCAGTTTCTGTTTTTAAAGTGGCATCATAATATCAACAGAAACCCAAGCTCCTATTTAAGTATCTAGTCTTTTCCTGTTTATAGGCTGAGCTCTATTAACCTATGTAGTAAACTACAATTATGTAGGTGCTTGGTACTTAAGAAATGAACGAAGGAAAAGCATTCCTATTAAGCTAAGTGTGTGGTGTCTTTGGCCATGCACAGTCAATTTCAACCCCAAGAGTTAATTACAGCTCAGTAAGATTGTAGGTGAGAATCTAAATGGCTGGAAACTAAGAACAGTGTAGACAACTATAATTCAAAAAGATATATGCACCCCTGTGGTCATAGCAGCATTATTCACAATAGCCAAGATATGGGAACAACCTAAATGTCCATCAACTGATGAATGGATAAAGAAGATGTGCTACATACATACAATGGGACATTACTCAGCTGTAAAAAAGAGTGAAACATGCCATTCGCAGCAACACAGATGGACATAGGGATTGTCATACTAAGTGAAGTCAGAAAGAGACAAACATCACTTACATGTGGAATCTAAAATATGACACAAGTGAAATCTACAAAACAGAAACAGACTCACAGACACAGAGAACAGACCTGTGGCTGCCAAGGGGGAGAGGGAGGGGCAGGGATGGAGTGAGAGTTTGGGTAAAGCAGATCCAAACCATGATGTATAGAATGGGTAACAGCAAGGTCCTACTGTATAGAACAGGGAACTACATTCAATAGCCTGGATAGATCATAATGGAAAAGAAAATAAAAAAGAAAGAAAGATATATGTATAACTGAATCACTTTGCTGTATAACAGAGATTAACACACTATAAATCGACTATACTTCAATTAGAAAAAAAGAACAATGCAAAGAAAACTGATTGATTACAGAGACTTAGAAGTCTGACTTGGGGAGGAATCTTCATTATATATAGCAAAAAGAACCTCAGCCCCAGGCCTCCTGGCACATGCTTCTGTGGCAGCTGAGTGTCACCGCTTGTCTGTGACTGACCTCGTGAACCATGAATGGTCAGTCTAAAGACTGAATGAACTGTTGTGGTATAAGAGCCAGGCTGATAATACTTTTGCCCTGCAGGCAGAGCAAATTTCTACATTGTCAGGTAACCTGATGGAGCTGCCTAGTGGAGGTCTGAGAAGGATTTGGAACGTTTTCCATATTATTAGTATTAGATGAAGGGCAGGGAGCACTTGCTAGCCAAGAGTCTGTCACTTTCCTTCTTTTATGTGTTACAAATCCATTGCTTCCTTATTGCAGTATCTGTGCCTTGAGTGGTTCGTTCAGCATATTTTCTCCTGTTTGGATTAATACCATGTCCACTCGATCTGGTACTGTTTAACATCTGCTGCTCTGGTCCTGGCCAGAATGGCAGCTCACATATAAACCTTCAAAAAAGATTTTAACATTGGAAAGGAAGAGAAATAACTATTGCTGTTTTTAAACAATTTGGTAATTTATTGAAAAAAACTAAGAAAATCAACTGAAATATAAAATAAAGCAGTTGAGGTAAGGTGGCTGGATACAAGATCAACACACAGAAATAAATGGCATTTCTATAAGTCAACAAATAACAATTAGAAATGGTAATAGAAAAAGAGGACTATTTACAATAGTTTTTTAAATTTATAAAATGACTAGTTTTAGGGCTAACAAGAAATATGCAAGACCTATATGAAGAAAGTCACGAACTTTTACTGAAAGACATAAAACCCTAAATAAATGGAGAATATGGCTGAAAAACTAAATATTGTAAACGTGAGCTTTCCCCAAATTGATCTCTAAAGTCAATATAATTGTAATTGAAATTCCAACATGTTTTGAATGAACTCCATAAACTCTCTCTATGTGAATTAGAGAACATGTGCAAGAATAACCAAGAAATATTTGAATAAAGAACACCCCTGTGATGTGGAGGAGGAATTTACAATATATCAAAACATCCTAGACCTTATTGTCACTGAAACTGTAGAAGAAACAGATCAATGAAACAAAAGTCCTGAGCCAGACCCACTACATTTAACCTGTCCAAGTGTATCCCACGTGTACGCAAAGAAAGGACTATGTAAGAAAACCACAGAAACTACTAGCCTTCCTTTGGAAAAAGTAAAATTAGTTGAATAGTGTCACCCCAGGACTCACGATCACCTTAAAATGTGACATCACTTGAAAATGGGGGTTTTTGCAGATTTAACTGTGGTAAGTATTGAGGTGAGACTGTACTGGGTGATGATGGGCCCTGAAGCCAATGAGCGTATCCTTACAAGAGACAGAAAGGGACACAGGCAGAGGGGAGAAGGCCCCGTGAAGATGCAGTGAGGGATTGAAAGGGTGAGTCCATGAGCCAAGGACTGCTGGCAGCTGCCAGAAGCCAGGGCAGACGCATGAGAGGGAGGGTTTCTCCCTCAGAGCCTCCAGAAAGGAGTCAGTCCTGCAGACACCTTGAGCTCAGACTCCTGGCCTCCAGAAATGTGCAAAAATAAACTTCTGTTGTCATAATGCACCCAGCCTGTGGTAATTTGCTATGGCAACCCTGGGAAACAAATACAGTGCCCTGCCACACATCAAACAGAAACATATATTCCAGGGATATTAAAAGTTACACATGAAAAGCAACACTGCAGATGTATTAGAAGAAAACTTTGAAAAATATTTTTATAATTCACCAGCTAAAGAATGTTTTCCCAAACAATGTACAAATCCCAGATGATACATAGAAAAGGACTGATAGATTTATGTGTATTTTTAAAAAGCAAAAAACTGTACATCAACAGTCACTCTTAACAAGTAAAAAGACAACATAAACTAAAGAAAATGTTGTGGTACACAGTAGAGAGGGCTTCCCTTGTGGTTCAGCTGGTAAAGATCCACCTGCAGTGCGGGAGACCTGGGTTCGATCCCTGGGTTGGGAGGATCCCCTGGAGAAGGGAAAGGCTACCCACTCCAGTATTCTGGCCTGAGGAATATCATGGACTGTTTAGTGGGATCGCAAAGAGTTCAACATGACTGAGTAACTTTCACATAGTAGAGTAAGTATTCAGAATAGTCAAAGAAAACATATAAATTATGAAGAAACACAAATGACCCAAAAGAATCAAAGAATATAAAATGGAAATAACAGAAGAGATGGAGAAACAGTGGAAACAGTGGCTGACTTTATTTTTGGGGGCTCCAAAATCACTGCAGATGGTGACTGCAGCCATGAAATAAAAAGACGCTTACTCCTTGAAAAAAAAGTTATGACCAACCTAGACAGCATATTAAACAGTAGAGACATTACTTTGCCAACAAAGGTCCATCTAGTCAAGGCTATGGTGTTTCCAGTAGTCATGTATGGATGTGAGAGTTGGACTATAAAGAAAGCTGAGCGCTTTCTGAGCTGAAGAATTGATGCTTTTGAATTGTGGTGTTGGAGAAGACTCTTGAGAGTCCCTTGGACTGCAAGGAGATCCAACTCGTCCATCCTAAAGGAAATCAGTCCTGAATAGTCATTGGAAGGACTGATGTTGAAACTGAAATTCCAATACCTTGGCCACCTGATGGGAAGAGCTGATTCATTTGAAAAGACCCTGACGTTGGGAAAGATTGAAGGTGAGAGGAGAAGGGGACAACAGAGGATGAGATGGTTGGATGGCATCACCGACTCAATGGACACGAGTTTGAGTAAACTCTGGGAGTTGGTGATGGACAGGGAGGCCTGGTGTGCTGCAGTCCATGGGGTCACAAAGAGTTGGATACAACTGAGCGACTGAACTGAACAGAAGAAATACAAAAGGTCAACAGACATTTTATAAGTAAATATTTACAAGACATAATATCCAGTGTTCATAAAGATATAGGCACTTTTTTCAGT